GTGCCAGACTTATTTAGAAAACATTTTAAAATGCTTATTTCAAACCCGCATCTGAGACGAGCAGCTGGACACGAACAGGTGAATTTACGCAGCTCATTTACACACTTTTCCTGAAGATAGAAGAGTTTGTTGAATCTGACGTGACATGTTCGTATGAACCCTTCGTACGAACAAAAGTAAGAAAATTTAGGATAAGAATACGAACATGTTCTTGCATGAGGCCCATTGTTTTTTTGTGTACAGTGCCCTGAGACAACAGTTGTTGTGACTTGGCGCTATATAAATAAATTAAATTGAATTGAATTGAAATTACACCCCTGGAGGTGTTACCTTTTACATCAGACGTCAGAACGTCACTCAGTTTTGTTTAGGCTAAAAGAACACATGATAAGACACGTCAACACTTTGTCTGCTTTAACGTTAAAGGCTGCAATGATCAGAAAGTATAAAATACAAAACTGAATCTAATATTCAATTAATCAGTTACAAAATTTTCTTCTAGAATACAGTATTATTTTAAAAGGATCAATAATTAGTTATAACATTAGACTTTAAAATAAAGACTGTAAAAATACTGTAGGCTGTTTAGTTTTGTAAATTTTTAAAAATATATTTTAACATGGATAGAGCCATTTTATTTACACGCAAAGCATTCTGGGTAAAAAAGAAAATAATCTTACCATTAGATGATAGTAAAGTGCTGACTTTTCTCATAAGCTGGGTACACACTGTATGTGTTTTGAGCAGCCAAAGCAGCCATTGTACATGTAAAGTCTATGGTGGACGCGCATCTAGGAGCAGCGCGGTGCATTTTGTCAGTTTAGAGCAGCACGCGAGGTAGCAGTAGCATGCGGCAGAGCATTTTCCATCCAAAGCAGCCGCTGCTTGAGTTCAAATAATTGAACTTACGCTGCTCAGTGTGCCGCAGCAACCAATCAGAGAATAATTTTTCCATGTGATGGTTTCCTGAACTCGACACAGACGGACAGGAGCTCTTTAGCTGAAATCGACCATATGCAGTTGTTGTTCTGGCTGGAGATATCAGCACCGATGTGGGTCAGCAGTTCATTAAACTGATAGCAGTGTTAAACTGGGCTCGGGACAAAAAAAAAGTTTGTCAGCTCGCAGCTCCTGGAGTGGTGAAACTRACCGAAMAAACCGCCTCTAAATCATCTGGTGAATTAATTATATGCTGTTCGCAACATTCGCTTGCTCTTTAGCAAATAAAGCAAAGCCATTTTCTTTATTACATTTTTATTTCACCTGTCATTAAAGGCAGACTGGAAAAACTAAGACTCTCCTCCCTCTTCAGATGCGCCTCTAGTCTGCTGCTGTGTTCACACCAAACGCATTTCAGTGCGTCCAACTTGAGGCGTTGGGCGCATTCTTGCTGCTCAAAACGCGTTTGGTGGGAACCCGGCTTTACATGGATGTTGTGCTTTAATATTAGCTCCGCTGAGTTTTACTGAGCATATGTGCTTTTGAACTTGCGGACCTAAATATATTGACTAGCGCTTTAGAAATTGTGCAACTAAAATTTAAATTAGCGCAGCCCACCACTGATTATAAGCATAAATATAATATTTGTGTTGTGCAGAAATATGATAATACTTCAACAAACTATTCTGGTATATCTGTGGATAATGAACCAAAGCTACAGAAATTATTAGTAAGCTTGTTTGAAAATTATTTCAGTCTAATGTTTTCTTGTTGTGTGTATGTACACTCACCGGCCACTTTATTAGGTACACCACGCTAGTAACGGGTTGGACCCCCTTTTGCCTTCAGAACTGCCTCAATTCTTCGTGGCATAGATTCAACAAGGTGCTGGAAGCATTCCTCGGAGATTTTGGTCCATATTGACAAGATGGCACCTGATTCCATTAATGAGCCCAGCTGGTACTTAAGCCTCTGAGAG